TTTCTCAGACGTACACCACAGTTTATTATCAGCTATCATACAAGTTATAATAAGTGTCGTGCCGTATGGCACTTACTGTGCCATACACTTTCTATGTATACTATATTCTGAACACGTGAATCCCACCATGTGTGAATTCACATCAAAATATTGATGACACCAAATTACTGAAAACCGATGACAGGCGTGGCCGGCCCAAGACCTGGCCCAGAATCGGGTCGGCCAAAACCTAACCCTAGAACCTTAGGGCCCAGTTCACAGTCCATCACAATATATATATATATAAGTATGTGTGTCTGTGTCTGTGTATGTGGGTAGGTGGGTGGATGTGTATATGTGAGTGAGTGAGTGTTTGTGGGGGTAGGTGTGTGTGTGTGTGTGCGTGTATATATATAATCATCCATCACTGCATGCCTTTTGTTGTATGTAAGACAGGATGTGATCACATACACGCATACTTGTAGTAGTCTGTAGGAGACGTTACAACGGAAAGCATTGTTCACCATACTATTAACATACATTTCAATTGACAGGACAATTCTAGTCCGTTTTCTGTTTCTGGGCAATCCAATTGAGACTCTGACAGGTTGCTTATCTAGGAGACGCTCGTACGGCCATTAATGGTAGAGACCGAAAGCAGGCTCACAGTACTATCTCCAAATATGCCTATGGAAAGTATAGGCGGGCTAGTCTCATACTACGCTCGACAAAATTATATGTACTATTGTGTATTCTGCCTAACTAGGATCCAATTTGATAGACAGACTAACCGAAGACTGCAGTTGGTCATAGAAATCATACCACCATCCCCGCCATACGTCTGCCGTTTATTTAGAGTTCGATTTACCACAAGTAATAAACTCTGATCATTTTATTGATGCAGGATGCGATAATGGATAAGCAGACCCGCAGTCGCTTGCAGTTGGTGGTAGAGACTGAAACCATCGCCCAGCACCGAACCGCCATTGTGGGCATGGACAAGGGCGGGGTGGTCAATTTAATAGTAGAACACCGTTTGGCGCCGCTCTCAGAGCTCTTCCGCGTGCTCAAGCGAGTGCCCGGCGGGATCGAGGTAAGCCATTTGTTCGTATGTAGAATATATTGTATATGCAGTTTATAATATGTATATATATATATATGTGTGTGTGTGTGTGTGTGTGTGTGTGTGTGTGTTATGTATGTNTGT